AATGGTAGCGTCCGATAATTTGCTTTTGGAGAGGCGTTCTGCACTTTTCTTCCAGTGAATATTCTTCCAAAAGGACCATTCTTCTTCTTCTTTTATCAGAGTCTGTAAATTTTACCAGATTGTTTGTTTAGACATGCCTGTTCTTCTGAATGCTACTATCGCTATGCTTGTACGACACCATGTGTTGCTTCTGTAATAACTACAAAATTAGATGAGCAGCTATATATAGTGTAAATTATTCTAAAATGCTCCAGAATGTTCTAAATTGTTATAGAATGTTACAAAACATTTTAAAATGTTCTAGAATGTTTTAAATTGTTCTAGAATGTTCTAAAGTCTTCTAAAATATTCTGTTATTTTCCAAAATGTTCTTAAGTTCTAAGCACTTCTAATCTATACAAGTTTTAAATGATTTGCAGGAAAACTACACGTATTAGTAGTAGCAGTAACAAGATTAAATAAATGACGAAACGTAATTTGAATTGCGGCGTGACCTTTTTTTACAACCGAAAGAAAGTGAAAAGTTATAAATATATATTATCTAGGCTCTATGCTGAGGTACAGGCTTTGACTTTCAGTATTAATGGTAAAAAATTGTATAAGAAGTCGTCCATAAAATACGTACGCCTATTATTTCACCACAACCCCCACCTCTCATCCAATGCATTTTGCTATACGTTTTTTTGAATGCCCTTACCTCCCTAAAAGTATCTACTTCTTTAACCTAACTACCTAACATTTTATGATATTTTCTTTCAATTTTGTGTCGCTTTTCTTTTATAATTATTCCAGCCCTCCATTATTTGAAGACCCCCTCTTCCCATCAGAGATTAAGTATAATTCTCGTTCCGGTCGGAATTCCGGCCAGAATTTTCTTAACAATTCCGGCAAATCTGATTCCGGCTGGAATTCAAATTTTCCGATCCGGTACACCCCTAATTTTGATATATATGCGGGGTAAACCCAACAATAACTTACGCCCTATAGGTTAAAATTGATATCTTAACTTGACTTAGTGCAGTAGTCGTGTAAAAAACTTTTTCTAATAGAAAATATGATTTTAAATTAATTTAGCACACTCCGCGGGTGTGAAAATGCATTGTTACAGTTGTAAAAACGGTTTTTTGCATTTTGATTGGGTATAATAACTTAGCAGGTATTATTCGGGCGACATTCCGCGTGTCGCCATTCTATTCAGAATTAAATTCTACGTTAGAAAACGTCTTTCCGCGGGTGTGATATTTAATTATAAAAAATCTCTGCATTTTAAGGACTACCCCAAGTTGTGGCCAAAACCACCCCATAAATTTTATTTACGGTTATTTTTAATTAGAAGTGTTATAAATTTGGCAACTATTGTACAAAACTCATCCTATATAAACTTACCGTAAATCTGCATTACACCGGTATAAAATAGTTTTATTTTTTTGCTTGTTTTTGAGACTTGCTCAAAGTGGTAACTTTTTAATATAAACATACTGAATTTTATTATCTTTTTAGCTTTTTTTTTTTTAAGTTTTTTTCAACTATTTGAAAAATTGCCTGCCCCAGCCAAACCCTCAGTCGATGTAGCGGTACTTCCTTGTTGCAGCAGGCTATAAGATAGTCGATGTAGCAGCACTCCCTTTAGCAGCAGGCAATAATATATGTACTGAAGCCAATAAATATTATAATAATGTACGGAAGCCAACAAATATTACTTCATTATATTAAAAAGTCACCACCCCGAGCAAGTCTCGCAAAAACGAAAAAATAAAACTATTTTACGCCAGTTAAATACAGATTTACCAAATTTACTATTAGTTATAACATCGCAACCCACTCAAATATTAACAACAGTTTCAACTAACTCACAATTTTGCAGCAAATAACTTTAGCAATTTTTATAGACTCTAACAGAAAAAAAAAAAAAAAAAAATATTATTAGTTCCTATGATGACTGTTTGATTGTCGGTGACTTTAACTTCCCGAATATAAAGTGGTCTAACGATGGTATTGAATCTTTTAACCCAAACAATCCTACCGAGTATGATTTCTGGAATATTTTCCAAAACAGCCTTTTTACTCAACATATCACATTTCCTACTTTCCAGACTGATTATGGTTCCTCAAATAATATGTTGGACTTGTTATTTACCTACAACAGTAATTCTATTTTAAACTTGTCTCCTAGTACTATACTAGGTAACACCACTAAGGGTCATTTTAGTATCACTTGGAGATTCTTAGTTTCAGAACTGTTTACCGAAAGTGAATCTCAATCGTTTAATTACAGAAAAGGTGATTACGATTCAATATCTAACTTTATTGCATCAATCGACTGGGAGTTTTTATTCCTGCATAAAACTGCAGATCAAATGTTCAATATACTAATTTCTAACTATCGCACTGCTTGCACATACTTTATTCCCAAGATTAATAAAACAAAAAAAAAGTATGATCCTTGGGTTACCCCACATATTAAAAACCTGATCCGTGAAAAAAAATCCGCTTGGCATATAAACTGCTCTACCAAATGGGAGAATAGTGAGCTTAAATTAAAATACAATCGTCTTAATCGTTCAGTAAAAACTGAAATATTTAAAGCAAAAAAAGCACATGAAAAAGAAATAATATCAAAATCCCAAAACAACCCAAAAATCGTTTACAAATATATCAACAAACAACTAAAAATTAAAGATAGAATTCGCTCTCTCAAAGATACTTCAGGCAGAATTTTTGAAGCTCTTCCTGATATAGTTGATCTTCTGAACTCTCAATTTAAATCTATGTTTACACTTGAAAGCTCTGAAAATTTTCCTTTGCTAAATAAAAGTGGTATTCTTTCTGAATGCATTTATAATGAAAACTTGGATTTCTCTATCTCAGATATTATTCAGGAACTTGCCGATCTAAAGCCTTATAAATCCTTCGGATCTGACGGCTTGCATCCCTTAATACTCAAGATATGTGCCAAAAGCTTTGCAATTCCATTAACAAAAATCTTTCATAAATCCTTTAATTCTGGAGTAGTACCCACTCAATGGAAATTAGCAAATATTAGTCCGATCTATAAAAAAAAGGGAGATAAATTACTTGCTGAAAACTATAGACCTATTTCACTAACATCTGTTGCCTGTAAAATCTTTGAAAAACTTGTAAAGAAAAAAATTTTAAAGCACATTAACGATAATAAAATGCTCTCTGCAAATCAACATGGCTTCCTTTATCATAAATCATGCGTAACTAACCTAATAGAAACTTTTGATATCATTTCGTCCTCCATAGCATCTCACCAATTTATTGATGTAATCTATCTTGACTTTGCCAAAGCGTTTGACTCTGTACCTCACAACAGACTTTTGTTAAAATTAAGATCTTTCGGAATAAACGGCAAACTCCTACAATGGATTAAATCTTTTTTAGTGGGCAGAAAGCAACGTGTTACAATTAACAATACCAGCTCTGCATGGGTTGATGTTCTCAGTGGTGTTCCTCAAGGTTCTGTTCTCGGCCCGCTCCTCTTCATTCTCTACACAAATGATCTCGCAAAACTCACTGAAACTTCTGAGATATTTGCCGATGATACTAAACTTTTTTCTAAAACCTTATCGCAATCTAATTTTGTTGATCTGCAGGATCGTCTACGCTTGGTATACGAGTGGTCAAACACTTGGTTACTTAAGCTAAACACTTCAAAATGCTGCGTCATTCATTACGGTCGAAACAACCCCCATTACAATTACTTTCTTCAAAATAACCAAGGAATCAACCAATCTCTAAGAAGCTCTACTAAAGAACGTGATTTAGGAGTCATTTTTACATCTAACCTCAAGTGGAGCGCTCATATTCAAACAGTTGTCTCTAAGTCCTTACAAATTCTCGGTATGCTGAAAAAGACATTCACTTTCATTGATGAAAAAATGGCTCTCAAATTATATAAAGTATTTATAAGACCACATCTTGAATATGGAGTGTCCATTTGGGCTCCTTTTTTAAAAGCTGATATGGCTTTGGTTGAATCTGTTCAACGCAAAGCTACAAAATGGGCTTACAGCTTGAGGCATCTTCAATACTGCGAAAGGCTAAAAAGATTAAACCTACCATCACTTGAGTTTCGACGCCTTCGATGCGATTTAATCCAAATTTTTAAATTAATACATCGTTTTGATATAGTTAATGACAAATATCTACCAAAATTTATTAACTCCGTGTCTCGTGGTCACCATTCTAAAATAAGGCGTGAGTATGTTCTAAACTGTCTTCCAAGATATAATCATTTGTATAATAGATCAGCAAAATACTGGAACGAACTACCAGAGCAAATCACTTTGTACTCCACTGTACTTTCTTTCAAAAATAGACTAGACTCCTGGTTGTGGAAAAAGTTTGGAACAAATATTTATAAAACTGGTTGTTTATAGTGGGGTGTTTCCCCTGCTCGCTGTATGTGTACATTCTATGTAAATTTACGGCTACAACTATAATAATAATAATAATAATAGTTCCGCAAACTACAAATAATCTAAGTAATAAATAAACAGAATAACTTTATTTTTGTGATAAACTCATGGCCTTCTAGAAATACGTATTTATACGTATTTTATAAGATATAAAAATTATTTCTATAAGGCCATGGATAAACTTAAAAAAAAAAGTACAAAGTAGTTTTAAAAAGTTAAACCTATTTTTTATAAATTAGCCAAAGTCATAAGGCAAAAGTCACATCATTTTACGTTAATTTAAACAAGAAAACGTTTTAATTCCACGTGACGTCACGCTGGCTAATTGGATGTTTAGAAGTTAAAAAATCAAAAAATGCTGGTCCTTCGCTGATAGAAATATAGTATTTCTCTTTAGGCGGCAGCCTAATATGCCGTACCCTAGATCCTCTAATTAACTTTTTAAAATTAACAAAATATATAAAGGTTAAAACAAAATATATTTACAAATAAATGTTTTTTTATTAATTTTAAAAATTTATCACGTGACTGAAGTCTCGTGTTTCATGTCAACACAATCTTAATACGAGTTCAGATTTTCCAAGAAAATTGATATTTTGTAATAGATTAAAAATTAATAAAAACTAATTTGATGAAGAAATTAACAGCGTGTAAAAACTATGATGGGATTTCTAGAAAAAATATGGTAATATTTATAAAATATAAGTAGTTTTAGTTTAAAATGCTGCAATTTTAATAAAATATACATGAAATATATGTGATAAAAGTAATTAGGGAGGAATCAAATTTAAGGTGGGTCAGGATAAAAAAATCATATCTGCATTTTAATGGTAAATGTTTTAAAATACTTTTAATAAAAGAATGATTTTTTTACTCACAAATACATTGCCGAGTCAACAAAAAATCAGAAAAATATGCATACACTTTTAAAACACTGTAACTCCTAAAATATATTTCCCATCAGCTTAAAAATTTCAAAATATGTTGCTAACACAAAAGAATGTAGCAAAGTTTTATTACGAAAATTTTAATATCAAAATTGGTGGATAGAAACAATAGTAGCAAATCAGAAATCTTTTTTTTATTCAAGAAATATTATCACGAGTTTTATGTAGTTCTGCTACAGTCCCTAAATTAATTGTTAAATTTTAAGTTATTTGGTTTCTTAGTTTTTAAGAAAATTCATTATAAGATTTGTGTAATATATATATGCTTAAATGTGTAAAAAGGTCTATATTTTTTGAATCTAAAGTTAATTTCAAGTTATATAACATGAAACAAAATTTCAGTTTTCTTAACCTATGAGCCATCTTAAACACCTTTCTTTTTTATTGTAATTGGTGATTAAGCTGATTTATTTTTATCATAGAATTCTTTTCTAGTTATACAAATCTTTTCTACATGTTTACATGATTTGTAAAGTAATAGTTTTGTGAGTATTGTTGAAATATATTTTAAAACTTAATTTTTAAAACATATGCCATATATGCCTGTCAAATATAAAAGACAAGATTTGCTAATTTAAAACTTAAAAGAAAAATACAATTTTGGCTTTAAAAAAAAGGTTTAAAAAGAACTTGTTGTTTCAGATAACAGTTAGTGGAATCTGTGGTAATAAATTTCAACATTCCTACCAAATGAATTAGTTATATTTATTTTTATGATTTGTAGAGCATTAAGTTTATGAATCAGTTGACTTGCCTTTTAGAAATTGAAATTTTTAATAATATTTGCAAAGATCTTTGTTATAAGAAATATTATTTTTATTTCATTTTTATTTTACAGGAAAAAAAATGAAAAAGATGAAGAAACTTTGAAATCTACTCTCAACGTTAGAAGTGGTCCATTGGGATACACAAAACTTCATAATGCAGTTTTCTCTAAAAAGCCTGATAAACTTAGGCAATTACTTGAATATGGGGCAGATGTAAATTTAATGTCAGATGGTGGTTATACACCACTGCATATAGCAGCATCTATAGATGCTTTCAGCTGCATTGAAGTGCTACTTGAATATAATGCTTGCACAACAATATGTGATGAAAATAAAAGAACACCATATGATACAGCAGTTTATTATGATTCTGTTAACTCAGCTAGACTCCTACTAAGTCATGGTATGTCATCTTAATTAATTTTTTCATATTTTCATGTGCAAAAAGAGAATATGTCTATGGGTAAATAATAATATAAGTAAAGTTAATAGATTTCTAGGATCATATTGTTTTATAAAATAATATGAAAAAAAATTTAATAAAAGTTTATTGAAATGTATAACTTTTAGACAATATAACATTAGTAGGATTTGAACATCTTTTAAATAAATTTATTGAGTTTGTTACAATATTACAATCAGTAGGAACAGATTCATACATCCACTCAATTAATTTAGAGGCTTTCAGTAATGATTTATTAAATCATTAACATTGCTTGTCAATTGAAGTTTATCATATATGTTAAAATTTTTAATTAAATATGATAAAGTTTATCAACTTAAATTAAGTTATATTATTAACAATATTTTGATGAAAAAATTGTTCACATGAAAATGTATGTTTACTGTGTGTCAGAAGAGGTGGAACATTCTAAATAGATTTTTTTCAAATAGAAAATTGCAGTTATACAGCATTATATTCCAATCAAAAGTCAGAGATAAGTAAACATATTTAGTTTTCAAAATATTTTCAGCTCAAAGTCCTATAGCCCAGGTAGAGCCCTGCTTTTGATTTTTTCTAGATATAATCCAACAATATTTCCAAATATTTATATTAATATAACAACTGAAAAAATTTATTCTAGATTTGGGTAAAATAAAAGATTTATAACATAATAAAAGTGTGTTCTTTTTTTATTAATTTTTTATTAATTATTATTAATAATGATTATAATTATTATTTTAATTTTTTATAATGATATGTATTATAAAATAAGGGATGTATTATAAAATGATATGTATTATAAAATAAGGAAAGCTAAAAACAATATTTATGTATCATATTCTTTTTTAAAATTTAACTTTCTCCTTGTCATTCAATTTTTTTTGTTTTCTTGATGCGAAAACAATGCCTATCCTATGAAGAATAAGCTTTTCTTGAAACTTCAGAACCATCTAAGGTTTGCATTCAATCTCGTTAAGAAGTTCCTTGAGATAAGCACTTTGTAACAGGAGGCTTATAGATTAGTAGATTATCAGGAACCAGCTCTTTACATGTGTCTGACTCAATATTAAAGTTTTTAATGTCTGTTAACTCTAATGCGACTATTTATTTTGTTAACAAGGGCAGCTGGAGGATTTTTTCTACATTTTTATATCAGCCTTACTGCTCTAGTTCATTTATATTTTAAGTCATCTACAAGAAAGAATACAAGAAAGTTTACTAAAGAAGTTATGAGCTGCAGCTTTTCCATTTTCACCATTTAATGTTGGTGGACTGCTTGTACTGCTATTTAGCTGTTCTATAATATGGCACAAAGTAACTCGTTGCTGAAGTGTAAAACCAATATTATGAATTATTCTGCCAATTTTTTATTCAAAGTCGGTATAATATATATATATATATATATATATATATATATATATATATATATATATATATATATATATATATATAATATATATATATAATAATATATATATATATATAATAATGTATATATATATATATATATATATATTTATTATTGCTCTGTCCTTTAAGAACATTGAGCACTCTGTTTGTAGAATACACTAACATAATATATATATATATATATATATATATATATATATATATATATATATATATATATATATATATATATGTATATATATATATATATATAAATTATGTATATATATATATACATATATAATTTAATATAATAATATTATATATATAATTCAAATATATATATATATAAATATATATATATATATATATATACATATATAATTTAATATAATAATATTATATATATAATTCAAATATAAATATATATATATATATATATATATATATATATATATATATATATATATATATATATATATATATATATATATAATTCAAATATATATATATATATATATATATATATATATATATATATATATATATCCTTATAACCTAGTTGAAAGAAACTTTTATGGTAAAAAAAATTATCTTTTAACAATAATTTTGTTAGATGTGCCGTTACATCGACTGCGGATTTAGTCCGGGCAAGCAATCTATCATCTAAGAAAAAAAAAACCATACCAAAATTTTTAAATTTTTTCTGGTCTGGTTTATTAGCGTTCTCTTTAAACCACAGTTTACCATAGTCACAAAAAATAAGAGTCTGGAAGCAAACAATATCACTTTGTTTAGGTTCAAGAAATTTAATCCTTCTCATTCTTTGGATGGTGCAAAGTAAATTCAATAAACAAAAATGTCTCATAGTAAAAATCTCTTTTATTCTAGTTACTTTTACAGCGTGTAAAATAACGGCCGGTCAACGGTCAATGACCGCCCAAAATAAGTAAAATTGCTATTTTGACCTCTCAAAATGAATTCTTGCTGGTCATGGTTGACCAATTAAAAAATAATCAGAGTTTTGAAAAACAAGATTTGAAAAATAATCAGATTATTATTTGGAAAAAGCATGTACTAAATTATCACATAATCATTAAAATTTTGAAAAAGTTTATCAGTTTACCAAACTTCCTCTAAGAAGTAAAATGAAAATCTGCGCGCTTAATTTTAAACTATTAACATTGGCATGTAATTTTAATGTTAGTTATTTGCAAGTTTAAAAAAGGCATACTAATTCATTAATTATCAAATATTAAGTTATTTTTGTATTTATAAAGTTCAGTCATGAAGAACTAATACAAAGATTAAAATGAAAACAAAGAAAATAATAAAAATGTTGACCATCCAAAAAAAACAGTTGACCGTCAATTCCAAGGGTTAGCTGGTCAAACTGATCGCTCGCCTTTGATTTCTTATTTTACACTCTGCTTTTACATTAAATTTAAACTGCTGTAATTTATTTTAGTGAATCAAATACAATTTTTTAAATTACTATTTGTTTCTTCCAGGCTTTGTTTTGTTAAAAAATGAAAGATTCATTTAAAATTACTCGAAAATTTATTGTCTCATGTCAATAAGACATTTTCTAAATAAAATAATTTTTTAAAGCTGCTTACGCGACCCGAAAGCTGTTTATTAATGCTTCTGAATCACTTCATCATATTTTCTGGATCTTTTATTAGTGCTTTCTGGATCTTCTGGATCACTTCGTCATATCAATGATTGTTGTTGAACTATTATGGCACTTTAGTCTCTAATTATTATTATTATTATTGTTATTATTGCTATTATTATTATTATTATTATTATTATTATTATTATTATTATTATTATATATACTTACATACCTTTATGATTTATCATGTTGTGGTGGTATATTTTGGAATTTGTATTTATGAATTAAAAATTAATGCAGTTTAAATAGTTTTTAACCCTTTGACACCTCTAGAGTTATTAGAGAAATGTTTATTTGTTTAAACAAGAAATTCCTAAAAAATGTCAATTAAGTTTATCATTTTTTTAGACTATTTAGAACAGCAATTAAAACAATAAACTTCATGGATATGTCAAACTGCAAAAACTGATGGGTTAGATGAGGCTTTTTAGCTGTGGCGAAGGCAACTCACCAAAATGAAAACTCTCATATAAACTCCCCACTTTATATGAATGGGTAATAAAATGGGTAACATGAGTTTGTATATAAGCAGTAGTAATATGAATCAGCAAGTGAGGAACCAAGAACACTATAATAGTTTATAGCATATCCAGCCTAAAATGATTATGATATCATAAACAGTAAAGTAATTTCATAGTTTTGAAGCTAGTGAAAAAAAGGTCAGAGAACAGCATTGATGGCTACAGTTATATTAGAGGGTGGTGCTGATTTGAAAAGTGTGACACTGTTGAAGACAAATACCAGAAGAGCAGAAAAGGAATTTTTAAAAACAGCTTTTTATATAAAATCATTATTTTAGTGGCATTAAAGTACGCCACACTTCACTGAGACAGAAAAACTGTACCTTGAGACAATAAGATACCATTCTCATGCAGGACTGCCCGCTTATAGAGAAAGAAAACTGCTTGGTATTTCTGTCATAGCTGATGACAATAGGACAACCCAGGAAACTGTTACCCATACTGTGATACAGGAGTGGAGTGTTAAAAATGCCAATGTAAGTGGAGTTTTTGACACAACTGCTTTTAGTTCTAGTAGGAAGAATGGGGCCTGTGTCAAGTTGGAGGATTTATTAGACAAAAAGGTAATCTTCTTGTCAAAGATGCTGACACCAATTATCGGAAACAATATTGTGTATAGTTTGGCAGAAATTATTTGGTGTAACATCCAGCCAAGATACACCAGAGTTTAAGGATTTTCAACAACTTGGGACTCACTTGCTCAGCGATTGACCTACCAAAGGCTTGACCTTTGCAACCATAGACTGAAACATCAGCAAGAAGTAGTAGCTTTTTTACGTGAACTGCTGTCTGTGCCATAAAAATTATATCATGCAGTATATGAGCAGTTAAATTTGTATCCAAGGTAAAATGGACAAGTTGCATGGCACTTGCTAGTTCAATGCCATTTTCTATATAAATGCATGAACTTTCAGCACGAAAAAATTATCTCATTTGGTATAAAAGTTTTGATCCAGCCATGGCGCAAGCAGCTATGACAGCACATAGCAGACATCAATGATCTCTCAAAAGAAAAAGCACCATTTGGGCTTTTCTCCACACTTTTGTCAGACTCCAAAAAGAAGTATCTCATTCAGCAACTTCTGAAGCATGTAGATTATGCCACTAGCTGTCTTCCAAAGGAAGTTCTAATATTTCCACAGTTTTAAACTTCTTTACCAACACAGCTGTCATCTTTGATAGGCATAAAGTCTTTGCAGCTGTTCAGGCTTTTGGATGTCCACAACAACTGAATGAACTTGCCACCAACTTGATGTATGACTGATGCAGCAAATGGCTAAGAGAGCAGTCAAACTCATCAGAGACTTTGCTGGAACAATTACAAAGAACAAAATACATGGACAATACTTATTGCAAACAGTTGAATGGGACTGACATGATATCTCAAATTTCAAGAAGCCAATTTTGCGCGATTCTCTGGCCTAATTTTAGCTTATTGATATATTGCATATCTCTTGTTATTTGTAGTATAAGTTATAATTTTATGAGCTGGCAAGGCTAAACTAATGTAAAAAAATATATATATATATTTAAAAAATATATATATATATTTTTATGTATATATATATATATATATATGTATATATATATATACTTAAATATAAATATATATACATATATATATATATATATATATATATATATATATATATATGTATATGAAAAATAAATAAAAAATGATAGAAATTTTAGCGTTTTGATTTTTAGTATTATTAAAAAATAAGAGTGATTTGACATTTTATTATCAATCTAAAAATAATTTGTTTTTTACTTCCTATATATTTAAAAAAAAATGTAAATAAATAAATTTTAACAACCTCATTTTTTACGCTGCATATATTTTTCTTGGATAACCAAAACAAGTATTCAAGTCTATAACTCCTTTAGGTAAAAAAATCAAAAACTACTAAACTTCTGCTGTTCACACACATAGCATGTTAAATATTTTAAAATTATATTGCTTATAGCAATGTGTTTTAAAAAGTTCTTCTATGTTTTGCCCGTTTTTAAACAGGTAACAACAAAAAATACTTTCGCGTTTTATGTTACAAAAAATAAGGGCGTAACAAAAGCATTAGTGTTATATTAATATTAACTTGTGTCGTTAAAAGACTTGCTCTCAATCAATAATAACGAGAAACTTGAGAGCTTGAAAACAGATTTTTTCAATAATTTCACCATCCCAAGATAAATTTTAGTGTCACTAAGTAAAGAAAAAATTTTAAATTTAAATCTAATAAACAAAACAGTATTTTTATCTAGATCACAATTTTACTGTATATAATTCACTTTTATATGTATATAATCCACTTTTATATGTATATAATTCACTTTTATATGTATATAATTCACTTTTGTATGTATATAATTCACTTTTATATGTATATAATTCACTTTTATATGTATATAATTCACTTTTATATGTATATAATTCACTTTTATATGTATATAATTCACTTTTATATGTATATAATTCACTTTTATCTAGATCACAATATATAATTCTTTTATAAAACTTTTATATGTATATAATTCTTTTATAAAACTTTTATATGTATATAATTCACTGTATATAATTCACTTTTATCTAGATCACAATTTCACTGTATTTTTTCACTTTTACATATTTTTTACAAAAAAATTTAAAATCAAAGTTAGTTATAGCTGTATGCAAAACGTAAAGTCTATATTGAACAATCAGTGTTTATTAACTAATATAGTTTATCAAGCTACTGTGATTGATGAAAATCCTAAAATTCTAAAGAAAAAGAAAAAATATATTTTGGTATCAGCGAGACAACATTTAAACTTAGATACGCAAATCATTTAAAGTCATATAATGCTGTGAAATACAAAAATGATACCGAGCTTTTTAAGGAGATTTGGAGTTTAAAAGAAAAAAACATAAAGTGGAAAATTATAAAACACAATACTGCACACAATAAAAAGAAAAATTATTAAACGTTGTAAACCTGTTAAAACAACATTCAAAATTTGAAACCTCTGCCTTGATAAGAAATTTATAATTTTCGACTGTTCTCTTTTGATACCGGAGAATAAATAGCTACATCTTTTAGCTACATCTACATCTTTTATTACATTAGAAGATGTTCTACGGTAATTTTTAATTCATTTGTAAAAGAGTTTGTTTTTAAATGGTTTTTCCTAACGATTTTTTATGTATTTTATGTATTTAATAGCTGATGATTGCTGTGTATGACATGAAACTTTAAGTAAGCAACTTTTATACAAAGTGAAAAGTACATACATTTTGTAAATAGATAAAAAAAAGCAAAGAAATATATTATATAATAAATTAATAAAAATAACAAAATATATTTTTATAACAAAACATTAAATTTAAATATCTATAAATAAAAATATAAAGAAAAATTTCAAAAATGAAAAAAATAGTAGTAAAACAGTAAAAAAAAAAAAAAAGGTTTACTAAAATAGATAATAAATGTCCCTGTAAACGCAGACTAACAGCAAATATATATATATATATATATATATATATATATATATATATATATATATATATATATATATATATATATATATATATATATATATATCTTGTTTTAAGATTCACAGCAAAATCACTAACGCAATGTCTAGTTAGAAAATTTTTTCTTAAAACAAGAAATTTCTTGTTTTGAGAATCAAACTGATTGGAGTGGAAATTTATTCTTAATACACAAAATAGATTTCTTGTTTTAAGAAAAATACTTAATAATAAATGTAATTTTGCTGTGTAACCTGTTGTTAAAACAGCTGCTTGTTGTAGGTAAAGATAGAGCTTCACTAGATTCTTATATTTGACTCATATTTTGCTACGTTCCATAGAAAAAATAATATCAAAAATGTTTATTATTATTTAGGTGCATTTTTGAATCAATTGCTGGCTGTATGCTAGAGCTATTTTTTCTCCAAAAGCATCGAATGATATTAATGTTCATTCTGACTACATTTTGCCAGGTGATGCCAAATGTCAAAAATCAACAGATGCGATCACTAATGATACTCTAACAGTGCCTTAATGTTTTGTTGAACTCTTTAGAGTTACTGTCTGCCACTGATTCTAAATTGTCTCTCATTTTGTTGCTCAGAAACTTGACATATATCTTCTCTTTTTCTTTTCTTTCTCCTTGTTTCTTTTGAAGAAGATCCTTTCCTTAATTTCTATTATTCTTACTGATTTTTGAATTTAGACCTTTTTGTAATTTTGCTTGTTTTTTTTACTACTTTGCTTGTTTTTGCTATGTCAAACAGCAGCATGCAAAATTTGTTGCTGGACTCAACTTGGAATATCCATATTTTTCTTATGGGCAGTTTGTGTTTACATTTACACAATGTTAATTTCAAAAATTACACCCTAGACAATGCTAATTGTTTAGGAAAAACAGTTGTTTTTTAATTTTTATAGTTTAAATTTTTCTATCATTTTGAATATGTTCAAACAACTGGAATTTTCTCTAATTTTTCTTATCATGTTCATAATTTTGTGATATGTAACGTAATGCATCAAATAAAATAATCATGTATGGGTCATCATCAAATTTTGGAACAGAATTTTTAACAGTTTTTGACCCCCTCCCCACCCTTGTCACAACTTCTTAATTCTTTAGTAATTAGTCCTATAGCAGTCGTCTCAAAACCACTAACACCTCTTCCTTCTCCACACCTAGAGCGTAATGTAATTTATGAACAACCTCTAATGTAATGTATCAAGTGTAAACATGTAACAATATATCTAAAATGTTCATGAAGTGTTGTCAATTTTAATATACAAGTAATAAATGTAAATTAAAATTTCTTTGAATCTAAAAACTGTTAGGTTTAGTCATTGAAATTTTTAAATTTAATATTTTTTATGCCTTTTTAAACATTTTTCTTATGTAATTTATACTAGTAACACTGGTAAATATTTTTTATTGAGGGAAGTTAGAACAGGGTTCTAACTAATAATCTTAGTGAATATCTAGAGACAAAATCAACTTTTGAGTACTTACAAAAAGGAAAACTAAATCAAAAAATTTTGCAATTAAGACTTATTGCCTTAATTACAAAATTTAAAAGGCTTAGTTTATTGTTATGTCAACTAGTTATGTCTTTTGCATGTGTTTGTTGTGTATGAAAGTATTATGCAAATTATTTAAGCAAAATTTTTATATTCTCTATAGATGTTTTAACAAGTCTAAAGCAAAGGCGTCATGTTGATTTTGTTAAGTATCTGGAAACAGCTCGTTCCAAGAGTGTTACTCCTGATTGTTTTGATAAATGTCTTAAGTTAGCAGTTGAAAACAACAACTTTACTGTAATTGGAGTAATAATGCTTCGAAAACCTCGTAATGCAAAAGAATGTTTAATTGATGCAATAATAAAGACAGATAGTTATAAATTTGATGCGCTAAAAATGCCAGATTGTTCTAAAAGCACCCTTTTATTGCTATTATGTTATGCTGTTGAAAAACACTTTAATGATGTAATCAAAGTAATTTGTGAGAACAAAGATTTTGAAACAGACAAATCTCAATGGTTAAAGTGTGACGTTCAAATTTCTGCTGAAACATTGCATCATTTAAAGTATTTTACATTAATTTTTTTTTATTACTTTGTTAAGGTTAATTTTTTTTTTTTTACTTTCTTTTTTCTTATCTTCTCTCCCCTGACCCTATATTTGCCCTTGAAACATAAATCTTGAAAAAAGATTTTTTGTGTGTCTATATATTTAGTTAATAAAAATGAAAAATAATCCAAGACCTCAGTTGAAAAAAGATTTATAAAAGTATATACAAAATTATTTTAAACCATTTCAAATTCTGGTCATTTCTTTATTTAGGTTTGTAAATTATTAACTTTTATCTGCTCTTTCAACAGAAAAAAATCTTCAAAAACAACTTGATGCGTTCATTTCAAGTATGTTTGACTTTGAGTATCATGGCTAATTCCATGTCAAATCAGCAGGCTCATGTGACCCTATGTTTTAGATTTTGCTAATTTTTAATATGTTATAGGGTTTATAAAAATTAAGAAAATCTAAAATTTGGAACCTCCAACCCCTTACCGTTCTTGAGATATTCAGGATTCAATTTTCTTATTTATGCTAAAAAAATACTTTTTTGTTGTTAAAAGCAATATTTTATGAAATAAATGAGGTATCATGTTTACCTAAAATAAATGAGGTATCATATTTACCCCTAATACCATCACAAGCAGATTTAAGCAGATTTTGCTTTTAATACCATCACAAGCAGATTTACCATGGCAACACATGGCTTGTAGCAAAAAAACCCATTCAGCATCAGTATCAAAGTCTTCTTTGTGATGGCAAAGATTAATAAAGTTCTCAAAGTTTTTATATTGTGTTGCACATCCATCAGTGAAATATTTAATGTTAATTTGTTTGCTTTAATGTAATTGATAATGAGCTGTTGCAATTTATATACATAGTATACATCATGCTCAACATCATCAGAAAGAAAGCAAAATGACTTAGATATCAGTTTACCATTTGATTTGTAGTATATGATAATAGTTTACATTTTGGTTTATTTTTATAACTTTGCACCTCAACCTGAACAAAAAGTTGAAAGTTTTCTGCAAAGTCACCCAATATTATCCACTCATTGTGATTTAAAAACTCTTTACAGTCTTTTAAGTACTTGGCCTGACTTTTAGCTATAATTGAATGTTATCTATTTTATTGCATATAAGGTCAATAACATCTTCAACATTGATTTTTTGATTGATCAGTGTAGTTCTATCAGTACTTTGCCATTGATAAATTGTTATTTCTTGATCACAGTTGTCAATTTTTCCTGTTAAGAATTCTTTTAAAGCAGTAATACCAGGACATAGTAGACATCGATGTAACATGCACTCTAGATTATCCCGGTTGAAAACAATCATTTCCATTAAATTTCTATAGTCTTTGTCAATTTTAAGAGCATCAGTAAACAACTTAACATTCTGATAATAGGTACAGACATGAACACTGTGAGTCCCAGATGAGTTTGTGGTTATACACCATCTTGGGCAAAGGCTGCAAAATTTTGAAAATCCAACATCTAAATTAGAGTGTTCAAATTTAAATGCTAAATAAAGTTCTTTTAAATTAATCAATATTAATTTTTTTTGCATGTGTTGCCTGTACCCTATACTGACAAAATCTTTTTTTCCAGGCATCATTTGTGTGTACTCGTCACTTTGATAAAAGCAATGAACTAGATCATTGGTTTCATGGGAAATTGACTTTACTTTTTTTGATGATGGTTTTTAGCCTCTCCTATAAGGTAATTAGATACATTAAAAAGTTCTGCAGATTTTGGGAGTGACCATGATTATGGAGTTAATGTTAATATCTGTATTTTTGTGGAGTATGAAGTCACATTTTTTAGTTTATCTTTTAATTTATTTAAAAGTGAGTTTAGATCGTCAATTTTATGGTTATCAAATGAAGAAGTTAGTGGTGTACAAGATGTACCAAGTGTAATTACAACATGGTGTCAATCTAATCATAGGATCAATATTATAAACTTTATTTTGTTTGTTGTTAGTTCAGTTATTTGATCAAATTTTCTTTTCGCAGCTGGTAATCGTTGGTGTTTTGGCACTGATTTAAGCTTAACAGGTGACACACCTATAGATTTAAGACTTTCATTGGGAGAGCAGAACTGATTACAGGAGAGCAGAACGTTGTTCATGTTCAGACTCAACACTGCTATAACATAGATCATTTGATTCTAATTTTTTGTTTATATTGTGTCCTTTTGTAACAACTACTGCATAATTTCCACCCAGGTACAACAGGAATATCTTAATACCAGGTACAACAGGAATATCTTAATACCAGGTACAGCACGAATAACTTGTGTTTTAAGAGTTATTGCTATTGATAGTGATATCTTCACATTTCCTATATAAAAAAAAAAGAAACAATTATTTCTGAACTGTTGTAAACAATTTTCCATAATCAAATAAACCAGCTCTCCGTAATAACTTTTTCATCATTTAAAAATGTTGATAGGTCTAAAAGACCTTGTCTTTTTGTTAAACATTGCTTGTGACATTTAAAATAACACTCTAATTCAATAGAAAAATTTTCCTTATTTTGCAACTTTTAATTTTATTTAAAAAATCTAGTTTTGAAATATTTTACAAAATAAATATTTTTTTGAAATACCATTAACATTATTTATGGTAAATTATTTATACATTTTATTATAATATACATAAAATTGGATGTGCCATATTATATGACTTTCTCTTATACATTATTAAAGGGTAATTAATTTTTATTTTATTTACAGATAGTAATCGTTTACAGATAGTAATTTATTTACAGATATAGTAATCATTTAACATTTATTAGTCTTTTAAATAAATATTAATATATATATATATATATATATATATATATATATATATATATATATATATATATATATATATATATAGCCTTTTATAAATGCACTTGGATTACAGCCTAGCAATGTTTCTATACTTAAAAAAATGTCGGTCTTTTATAAAAAAATTAGCTTCAATAAATAAAAATAATATTTCTAGTTATTGCTATATAAAACCTCCAAAAAGCTCCAAAAAAAAAATATTTTTCAAAAATTGCAAATTTTAACAAAACAAAATTTGCAATTTTTGAAAAATATTGAACTTGGAAAATTAAAAAAAAAAATTTTTTTTTGGGTAGGGGGAGCCAGATTAACATATTTTGAGCCCGCCCCAGGCACAAAAAATATTTAAATAAATTATATATTTTTTAAAAATATATAATTTATTTATATTTTTATATACATTATATTTTTATATATACATTAAAATTGCCCTCACAAAGGCTTTAAATATATCTTTTTATAACATAAAATGTGGATATAGCTAATTTGATAATAAATAAGTTAGCAATAAATTTTATGCTGACTCAGCATATATATAAGCTTTACTTATAAGGCTGCATTTAGAAAAGTCGAAAAATGCAGTAATATATTTTTTATTAATAGTGATGTTTGATACCTATATTGTAAGTTATAAAAATGCATCGAAAAAAATTATCAAAGTAACATCACCATTTTGACCGTCAAAATACCCCAAAATATAAGCCTGTATTATCTAATTTACATGTAATTATGGTGGTCAAAAAAGTTTTCAATATAAAATTTGTATCCGCCATGTGGAAGGTTGTCTATGTACAAAATTTCAGGATGATACCTCATTTGGTGTATAAAATATTGCTATTTAACAACAAAAAAGTATTTTGTAAAAAAATGCTGAGTCAGCATAAATAAGAAAATTGAATTCTGAATATCTCAAGAAACGTAAGGAGTTGGAGGTTCCAAATTTCATATTTTTTTAATTTTCATAAACTTGATAACATATAAAAAAATTCGCAAAATCCAAAACATGGGGTGACATTTTTTGTTTTTTTCTGCTGATTTGACATGGAATTACCCTATACATTAGGGTGTCCCAAAAAACAACTTTTTTAAAAATAATCTGTTCTCAAACCCTAAAAGTGTTCTATCTAATACAAAAACACTGTTTAAATTAAATATTCGAGGGTCTTGAGGGACCCTTTAAATTATTTTTTTTCAATAAAAAATAATTTAAAGTGTCCCTCAAGACCCTCGAATATTTAATGGGTCCCTAATATTTTCAAAAAAAAAGTTTTTAAAAATTATGTCAACCTGGTACTCAAATGAGGCGAAATTATATAAAAATTTCGAAAATAATGTTCATTTCGGAAAAAACGATACGTAACGATATTTCCCTTAAAATATACCATATTTGCCAAAACAACAAATTGAAAATTGAGGATCTTTTTTTTTTTAACGAAATCGGCTATTTTTTTACAGAAAACAATTTTCTTTAAAAAAATTGCTGATTTCGTTAAAAAAAAAAAGATCCTCACTTTTCGATTTGGGCAGCGCCCAAATACAGTCAGCGCTGCTGAAAATGGTCTAGAATAGCCCCTGTATATATATATATATATATATATATATATATATATATACATATATATATATATATATATATATATATATATACATATATATATATATATATATATTTATATGTATATATATATATTTATATATATATATATATATATATATATATATATGTATATATATATATATTTATATATGTATATATGTATATATATGTACATATATATATAAATATATATATATATATATATGTATATATATATTTATATATGTATATATGTATATATATATATATATGTACATATATATATATATATATACATATATACATATATAAATCGGCGCCGACTGTATTTGGGCGCCGCCCAAATTGTAAATTGAGGATCTTTTTTTTTAATGAAATCGGCAATTTTTTTACAGAAAATTGTTTTCTGTAAAAAAATTGCTGATTTCGTTAAAAAAAAAAAAAATCCTCAATTTTCAATTTGGGCGGCGCTAAATACAGTCAAGAAAAATGGTCAAGAATAGCCCCTGTATATATATATATATATATATTAGGGTGGTGCTTAAAACAACTTTTTTGAGAAAAACCTGCTGGTACCCCCTAAATGTGTTTTATCTAAT